AGCGCCACCGCGCTCCCAAGCGGCGCACTGTAGCAGTGCGCCACCGGGCCGGCCCACAACTCCCAAATTTTATGCTTATTTTTTTTCTACTTCTGTCAATTTCCTGACATATTTAACATAAGCAAAAACAAACAAACAAACAAAAAAAAAAACTTTTCAGTAAATTGAGCACTTAAGTCTACATGTCTTGAAGAGCTCTGACAAGTTACGTATATCCCATGTTGCTTTTTGTCCCATCTCTTCTTTGCTTCAAACCCCTATGTTAGTTTCTTCTTTTTTTGAGCAGCCTATGAATTTTCAGCTTCCTTTTTGGCTATTACAAAGCTGTGGCAGGCAACTACTTTGGCAATTTTTACATCAAGCTCTTGAGTAACTAGCTGGTTCTAAGCTCCTCAGCCTTCTCAGTATTCCACTCCTCCACAGCCTGATCTGGCTTCTTTTCATGGCCTGACTTCTCAATCTTTTTCTTTTTAACAGGGGGTTCAAATCTATCAGTGACTCCAAAATATTGAGTAAGCTTCTTCCACTGGGTTTTACTTGAGGAATGTTCACTATGAGATTCTTTTTCATTCTTCAATTTACCTTTTCTGGAGCGTTTTCTTTTCTTCCCCCTGAATCTTGAGGTTGAGGTTTTCTGTTCAGAGTGTTTTTTATGCAGTTTTTGAAGTTTATTCCACATACTTAAGGGAATTCTAGAAGGACACTCTTCATGTGCATTTACATTTGCCTCTGTTTTAGTTTTTGGTCCATCTGCTGGTAAATCTGAGATTTCTATTTTTCAATGGTCCCATCCTGTTTATCTTCATGTTAATTAAGTACAGAGTTCTCTAATGTGGCTTCATCTTCAGAATCTGACTCAACATCACTTTCATTTAGATGAGGAGGTAGCAGCCCACTCCACATCTTCTCTTCGGTCAGGAAGTGACCCCTGGTAGCCATCTTAACACCCTGTCAACATTGTGCCTTCTCATACATATACTTATTTGTGTTTGATATATATACATTTTTAACAATCATGTAGGGCCGGCCTGTGGCTCACTCAGGAGAGTGTGGTGCTGATAACACCAAGGCCACGGGTTCAGATCCTATATAGGGATGGCCGGTTAGCTCACTGGCTGAGCGTGGTGTTGACAACACCAAGCCAAGGGTTGAGATCCCCTTACCGGTCATCTTTCAAAAAAAAAAAAAATACATGTATAATATATCAGAACTGCTATATTATTTTGTAAATAATGAAGATGAAGTCACAGAGAAAATAATTTGTTCTTAACATGGTAGTAAGTTATTATTAAGGCTACGTATTTAGGTTTCACAGAAATTATAACACCCAAGTAGGGATATTTCATTTTATTATTCCTGTGACTGTGAAAATCTATTGCTGGTCACCACAAGGATGCTCATGTTGAAAGAGACGAAATTTCTTGAAGAACTCCTAGATTAGGTATCTTTTATACTGAATACCTATCTTCTTTTAGTGAGGAAAGCAAAATGCTCTATTTGAAGTTTTTGATTCTGTTGATTAATAAATATTTCCCAGACACTGACAGACTTTTCCCCTAGGAATCTAGACTCTAGAAGCCTACCAGTTTCTCAGAGGCCCTTCAGGAATATAGGAGGGGACTGCAGATGAGCAGTGCCCCCACCTGTTTACTGCTTCAGAGAGAGCAGTCTTAATTGTTTTGTTCTCTAGGTTTGGGGGTGTATTTTGTTTGAATGAGGTTTCTTGCAGCCTAGAAAAACCTTTTTTTGAAACACTGCTTTAAAGTTCCTCTCAATATTTCCTGGTAGCATGTAGATTGGGGAAGGAAACCAGAATTTGAAGTGTGGGGCCGGCCCGGTGGCGCACTGGATAGTGCGCCGCTTGGGAAGCGCGGCGGCGCTCCCGCCCGAGGGTTCGGATCCCACATACGGACCGGTTCCCGCTCACTGGCTGAGCGAGGCGCGGGAGCAACGCCGAGGGTTGTGATCCCGTTGCCGGTCCCCGGTCCGGAACGGGGGCAACACTGAGGGTTGCGATCCGTTGGACACGGAAAAAGACAAAAGACAAAAAAAAAAAAAAAAGAATTTGAAGTGTGAATGATTTGACTTTGAGTTTCCTGGGATTTTTTTAATCAAAATTTAAAACTTTTGCTCTGCTAAGACACTGTTAAGAGAATGAAGATAAGAAACAGACTCACAGAAAGTACTTGTAAACTACATTTTCAAAAAAGGACTTATAGAGAGAATATATAAAAAACTCTCAAGACTTAACAATAAGAAAACAAGCAACTCAATAAAAAATGGGAAAAGATTTAAGTAGACACTTCATCAAAGAAAATATATGGATGGCAAAAAAGTACATGAATAGATGCTCAACATCATTAGCCATTATGGAAATGCAAACTAAAATCACAATGATACGTTACTGAATATCTATTAGAATTACTAAAGTTAAAGCAAAACAAACAAAAACTGACAATACCAAGTACTGGGCAAATATATAGAGTGACTGGAACTATTGCTGGGGGAAACATAAAATGATACAGCCATTCTAGAAAGGTTTGAAAATTTCTTATAAAATCAAACATAACTTACTGTATGTTTCAGCAATTCTACTCCTAAGTATTTACCCTAGATAAGTGAAAACTTATATTTACACAAAAGTTTATATACTAATGTCTATAGCAGCTTTGTTCATAATCACCAAACACTGGGCACAACCCAAATGTCCTTCTGTATATGAATGGATGAACAAACTATGATTCCACTTGTATGACATTCTGATAAAGGCAAAACTGTAGGGATGGAGCATAGATCAGTGGTTACCAAGGATGAGGAGTGTGGGCTAGGATTCACCACAAAGGCACAGCATGAAAGATTATTTTGGAGTAACAGAATTGTCCTGTGTCCCAATTGTGGTGTGATGGTTATTGAATCCTAAATATGTGTTAAAACTATTAGAATACAGGCCGGTCCGTGGCTCACTCGGTAGAGTGCGGTGCTGATAACACCAAGGCCATGGGTTCGGATCCTATATAGGGATGGCCGGTTTGCTCACTGGCTGAGCGTGGTGCTGACAACACCAAGCCAAGGGTTGAGATCCCCTTACCGGTCATCTTTTAAAAAAAAAACTAGTAGAATACAAACACACACACTAATTTCATATGTTACTTTTTTAATTAGAATAAAAATTAAAATATTTAAAAATTTTGGGTGGCTCATTTTATTAGGATTATGTTCAACTGCATATAATGTATACTCACTCATACTTATAATAATAGAGGCTTGAAAAAGATAGATGGTTATTTCTCTTTAATACAGAAATCATCCTGAAGTTGTGGTCCAGGGCTGGAATGGTGGCTTCATGGTCCCTAAAACTGTGGACCCTGACCTCATGATGCTTAATGGCTGTTGGAGCTCCAACTGTTACATCAGAGTTCCAGACAGCTGATGGATAAAAGGAGGAAGAAGGGTATCTTCCCTTCCCTTTAGGACTGTTCTTGAAAGTTGCATGCAACTCTTCTGCTTATATTTCATACTGGCTAAAATTTACTCACATGGACATACCTAGCTGCAAAGGAGTATAGGAATATCATCTATCTGGGTGGAAATGTAGCTGGTGGTGGGGTGGGGGTGGGGGTGAGGGCAGGAATCAGAATTCTGATTTCCAAGGAAGAAAATTAGGCCGCTGAAGTTTTTGCCAGGCTCCTACAATTGCCAAGGGCTACTTGCCATAGACAATTCCCCATACCAAATCTCAGAATTAGTCTAGTACAGATTCTGTTGCACTTTTTCCATCCTCTCACCCCCATCCAGAGTACACTAAACCTTCCCCTGTACCATAGCCAGTGTAGTACTGGACACTGCTACATGTCCCCTGGAGCTCTTATTTTCTTCTCAGAGGCATCCCTCCTAACTCCAATCTGAACTTGATATTCTCTAGGTCTGTAGCACAGCTGCCATCCTGAATCCTCTCTTCACCATCATCCTGGGTATTCCTGCCTCTTCTCTCCTGTGTTGGATACTTTGTTACTTCAATCTTGTGTTCTCTTCTTCCTTGGTTTACTCCTTGGATTTGGTGGAACATAAACTCCAGAAATTTCCTGAGAACAGGTGCATGGCACCTGTTTTAGTCTGTTTTGTGTTGCTATAACAGAAATACCTGAGACTGGGTGATGTATAAAGAAGAGAAGGTTTATTTGGCTTACGATTCTGGGACAGTTGCATCTGGCATGGGCCTCAGGCTGTTTCTACTCATGGTGGAAAAGTGGCAGGCAGCTGGCAGGTACAAGCAGATCACATGGTGAGAGGAAGCAAGAGAGAGAGAGAGAGAAGGTGCCAGGGTCTTTTAAACAACAAGCTCGGGCCGGCCCGGTGGTGTACTGGAGAGTACGCTGCTTGGGAGCGCGGTGGCGCTCCAGCCGAGGGTTCGGATCCCATGTGGAGACCGGTTCCCGCTCACTGGCTGAGCATGGTGCGGGCGCAACACCGAGGGGTGCAATCCCGTTGCCGGTCCCCGGTGTGGGCGCGACACCGAGGGTTGCGATCCCGTTACCGGTTAGTAAAAAAGACAAAAAGGAAAAAAAAAACAGTAAGCTCTCGTGGGAACTAATACAGCAAGAACTCACTCATTTATCCCCCTCCCCCAGGGAGAGCATTAATCCATTCATGAGGGATCCACCCCATGACTCAATCACTTTCCAACACTGCCACATTGAGGATCAAAATTCCACTTGAGTTTTGGAGGGGACAACACATCCAAACTCCATAAGCACCTAAAAAATTTTTTTTGAGAACTTGCATATCTGAAATTATTTATTTTTCCCTCACACTTGATTGCAAATTTGGCTGGATATAGAATTCTAGATTAGAAATTATTTTTCCTTTAAATGTCTAAGACAGCATTCCATTGTCTTATCACTTACCATGTTGCTTTTAAGAGGTCTGATGACATACTGATTCCTGTTCTTATGTATGTCTCTTGCTTTCCTTCTGGAAGTTTTTAGGATCTTCTACTTATCCATAGAGTTTTGAAATTTTATTGTAACATGCTTTGATGTGGCATGTCATAATGCCTGGACATTGGATAGTTCTTTTCAATCTATAAATTTGTATCCTTAGGTTCTGGGGTTTTTGTTTGTTTGTTTTTTGTTTTTTTTAAATCAAGGGAAATTCTTTATTAAGAATCAAAACTGTACACTTCTCTTTGAGATCATTCCTTTAAATGTTTGGCCCAAAAATATATATCTAATGGATCAGGTCCAATTCTGTGATGTTTATCAGATGCAGCCTACAGCTGAAGAGAAAGACACAACAGCAATATTATCTCTCTAAAGCTCAACCAATAATCGCTTGAGTCAGATGTTTTATTTTATTTTTTATTTAATGTTTAGATAGAAAATTTTCAACATAGAAACTAAGGAAAATATCACAAATTGAATTTAAAGTCAATTGATAAGGAATAAATTTAACACTCAAATATTAACATCCTTAATGCAAAAAGAACTCTTAAAAATGAATTAGAAAAATCTAAGTAGAAATTTGGTGAAGGACATGAGCAAATAAGTCACACACCCCAAAGAAACACAAGTGGCTAATAAGTATGTTCTATGATGTTGTGAGGGGAGTGGGGCGGGGCTTGAGACCCTTGCCCCATCCGAGGACCCCCTGCGGCTGGCTGGCTCTGTTGCTTGCCTGCCTGGGTTTTGCAGTTGTCCTCTGCTCTCAGAATATTCTGGGTGAACCGATAATTAACCTCCCTAATGTCTCAGCTTCCACATCTTTGAAAAAGGCATCAGTGAGGGGGACATTTTCAGGAAGCAACAGCCCATGTCACCTTCTGTAAAGCCCTGAAGTAGTGCATGGGCGGGGCTCCACGGCGGATTTCTCCCCAAAGTGGATGGACTGGAGCACTTTGGCAGACTCACTCCAAGTGGGGCCAGACCCAAGTGAAATTTTTCTTACATCTTCGAAAATCTATTTTCACTCTTCTCTCTCTCTCTGGATCTCCAATTTGGGAGATATGTTGATCTCTTGGGTTGATCCTATTATTATTATTATTATTATTATTATTATTATTATTATTATTATTATTGCCTTTTATCTATTTTCTCTTTCTTTTATTCTATTTTCTATCATATTTGCTTAACTATCTTTTAACTGTTATACCTAATTTTTAAATTTCTGCTGTTTACAATTTTAGATACTCTTTCTTGTTCTCTGCTTTTATAATGTAATAACATTTTGTTCTTAACATCCTTAATTTGTTAAGCTTTTCATTTTAATATTTTTATTATTTTCAAGTAATATCCCAGTCTCTTTCATATAAAACATATGGTTTGTAGTATTCCTGAAAATTCTCCTTTTAAGTACCTTCTTTTTTTTCTTGGCAGCTGGCAGGTTTGTGGAAAATTCTTCTTTTAAAGTGGTATGGTGAAGCATCCAAAAGACTTGGTATGAAGAATTGTCTTATTGCATTTCAAATTTTGATTTCTGCATTTGTATTTTGTAGATTAAAGAAACGAAAATCTATAAAATTTTATTAATGACAATCCATGTCTGAGTCTTTTTAAGAGCGGAATATTTATTTGAGGAATAATTGTGAAAGTTTTATTTTTTTTATTAGAAATTAATATTTTCCGGGGCCGGCCCAGTGGCGCACTGCGCTAGTGCGCCGCTTGGGAAGCGCGGTGGCGCTCCCGCCGAGGGTTCGGATCCCACATACAGACCGGTTCCTGCTCACTGGCTGAGCGAGTCGCAGGGGCAACACCGAGGGTTGCGATCCCGTTGCCGGTCCTGGTCCGGTACGGGGGCGACACTGAGGGTTGCGATCCGTTGCCGGACACGGAAAAAGACAAAAAAAAAAAGAAAGAAATTAATATTTTCCCCAGAATTGCCTCTATACTAACCTCATTTTTACAGTCAAAGTAGTGATAAGACTAAGATATGTCCAGGAATTTTGGACTACCAGAAAGAAGCTACTACCTTTTTTTTTTTTTTTTAAAGATGACCGGTAAGGGGATCTTAACCCTTGACTTGGTGTTGTCAGCACCACGCTCAGCCAGTGAGCAGGAACCGGTCTGTATGTGGGATCCGAACCCGGGGCCTTGGTGTTATCAGCCCCGCACTCTCCCGAGTGAGCCACGGGCCGGCCCAGAAGCTACTACCTTTTTTTTTTTTTTTAAAGATGCCCGGTAAGGGGATCTTAACCCTTGACTTGGTGTTGTCAGCACCACGCTCAGCCAGTGAGCAGGAACCGGTCTGTATGTGGGATCCGAACCCGGGGCCTTGGTGTTATCAGCACCGCACTCTCCCGAGTGAGCCACGGGCCGGCCCAGAAGCTACTACCTTATGAAGCCAGTGTTGCTGTAAAAATGAAAGGTGGTCTTTTCTACTCTGGTAACCACTTGAGTTGCTAAAATTTAACCTCGTTTAAGATTCATATAAAGTGGATTCAAGAAAGAAAAAAGTGATTTGCCCTAGAAATGTTCTCAAAAAGTCTGTTCTTTTTTTCAGCAGGGTACTAAGGTTTAGTCTCCAGCTCTGATCAACCAGTGTTTTTGATGCCGCCTGAGGTGGAGACCTGCCATGTTCATGGAATCAATTCTGTTACATACTATTTCAATATTGCACAGATTTGTTTTCTTTTTGTTCTTCTAGTGAGACTCTTTACAACTTTGTTCCCCATATCAGAGAAAGCATTCAAAGGGTAAGTATAAGCTACATTTCAAGGAGTTAGAACATACTACATTTTAAGAAGTTTGATGATTATGTTGTAATGGCTTTACTGCATGTGGGTGGGATAGCAATATTTTAACTATCCTTTTTTGTCATTAAATGACAGTCCTCCAAGTTAGTCAATTAAGGCAACAGTCTGTGAATTCTTTCTTAATTTTGGGTTTCTTAGTTGCAGACATCTGTGGAAAAGTCTGAGGAACATCTCAGTTCAATAAGCCAATCTATTTTGGATTCTTTGGAGACTGTGGCCAAGACATGTGAGTGTCTGTTTGAGGTTATCAGCAGAGGGCACTGGCGAGCAGTGAATGTGAACTTTTTGACCCTAGCCAGCTTTCCAGTGGTGAGGTTCCATGCAGTGTTTCAGATGAGAGTGGGTGTATAAAGTTAGCCCTGAAGAGATGTGGTGCATGCTATACTGGGTAGTGAGACTCACCTCTATATGACAATGCACTGGTCCCACAGTGCCTTTTGTGAAGCACTAGTCCTCCACCCGGTAATCCTGCTGCCTCAGGGCAGGTAGCTCTGCCCGATTTCTCATCTCACGGCCTGAAGTGAATCAGCAGCATCCCTGAGTCCCAAATGAATTGCTGGCTGTGCTGTGTATAGAGACACTGCCTCCTTAGGAGTTAGAAATACTTGTCACCTGCTGTTCTTCTTGCTGCCTTGGTTTCAGTACAAGCTGTTTTGTAGTGAATCACAGCATCATTCTCAATTTCAGTTACAGTTTGTGGTTTGTAAACCCCCCTGCTCCACCAATTAGTGATTTACATTTAAATGAAACCACGGCCCTGACCCTCATAAATAGGAGAGAGCCAATACACAGTTCTTCTTAGGCAGATACCTCTACAGAATGACCAGTTTCTCAGCAAAATAATAAGCTGATGAATGTACACCTGCACTTGTTTGCATATGTCTGTGTGTTTATTTTTTATTTTAAACAAGTTGAAGTCAACTTATTCAAATGCCATGGGATGGATTGCTCATGATTTACAAAAATCAGTGCCTTTGTGTGGCTTAGAAATTAATCCCCATCTGTCCATTGGCTTCCAAACTGGGTAGCCCACACACAGGGCAACTGTAAATCTGTTCGGAAACTGGTTCTGGAACCTAGGACTGTTACCCCACAAGAAGTAGCAAAGTAGAAAGCTGAAGCAAATCAGGGATGCTTCCTTTATATGGAATAAGTCATGTGTAAGTGCCCAAGGAAAGCACTCTGGTTCTTTTCTGCATTTAAAACTGGGTGAATGGGGCCGGCCCGTGGCTCACTCGGGAGAGTGTGGTGCTGATAACACCAAGGCCACGGGTTCAGATCCCATATAGGGATGGCCGGTTAGCTCACTGGGTGAGCATGGTGCTGACAACACCAAGTCAAGGGTTAAGATCCCCTCGCCGGTCATCTTTAAAAAAAAAAAACTGGGTGAATGAATGTACTGTCCAGCTGGGAAACAAACAAACAAACAAAAACCCTGGGTGAAGTACAAAAAGAAGAATTGCAGCAAAAGTGTGGCATTTAAGTTCCAGAAAAGGGAATAGAAGTTTCCAAGGCCCCAACACAAGATCAAGGCAGAGAGAGGATTAGAACTGAATCTGGCTTATAGTAGGCACAGGGATTCTGATCTTTTGCCCCCGATGGTTCCTTAATTTTCAGAGGGTAAGACTCAGAAGAGGGATCCACACTGAGAAGACAAACAGTAACAAACACAGTGGCATTATATTAATTAAAAGGCTAGAGCTGTCCAGTTAGCTCAGTTGGTTAATGCGTGGTGCTAATAACACCAAGGACCAGGATTCAATCCCTATGCCAGTCAACAAAACAAAGAAAAAGGCCAGGTCATTCTTGGAAATGGAAATAGGTAGCCTGCCAGAATCATTCCCTTTCTTGGTAGGTAATGATCAGGAGCAGGAAATTAGACATTTAGAGAGGAACCAGATAAATCCTCTATCATGTGACTAGGCCCAGTCCATCTAGCATAAAGCGCTGAGCTCCACTCAGAGCATTCTGCAGGATTTTAGCCTGTGTTCAACAGGAAAAGTAAAAGTAAAGATACTGTGTGGAAGTGCTGTTTTGTGTTATTATGTAATTGGTGGCTTTACAGAATGAAGTAGTGAAATCTTTTCCCAGTTACGGTCTGCCTGCCCAACTAGAGAGTAACTGTAGCCATCTAATCTAACTCCTCCTGTTCATCAGCTGAGGACCCCATGGACCAGAGTAATAAAATGAATTACCAACACCACCTATATCCTACTTTACGTTGGCTTTAGGTGGCCCAACTAAGTAGAGAGCCATAACTTTCATCTGATAGGTATTAGTTCTATTGGAAAATATGATCATTTGGAAAATAAAAAGGAGCACCCACTATCAAAACCAAAAATGTCTCCTTTAGAAAATAGATAACTCTATACATCAAAATACATTTTATATGAAACGGTATATTAAGTGTGGTGATTAACTCATAAAAAGAACTAGAAGAAAACATGGGCAACATTTTTATAATTTTAAAACGGGAAAAGCGAAACACATAATGTTAAGAAGAACGAGATCAATTTACATGAACATGTTGGAATGGAATTATCTGTTCATTGTTAAATTAAAACAGCAAGGTGCTGTTCATGTGCACATAGTTTGCTCCAGGACTCATCTTGTGGGGGAGTGTGACTAGCCAGTGAAAATTGAGATTTCTCTAAAAAAAGGTGCAGGCTGAGGAGGCTCCCAGATCTTTCCTCAGGTTCTCATCAAGACAGCAGGGAGAACAAAACTACAGAGTAAAAGGAAAATCACTGGCCATCGGTAGAAAAGCATTCCTTTCTAAGTTACAACATAATCTGATCTTATCTCAATTGAGCACTTGTCAAATTGCTAAAATACAAATGAATTTTTAAAAAATCATCTTAATTGGGCTGACCCCGTGGCTCACTCAGGAGAGTGCGGCACTGGGAGTGCCGAGGCCGTGGGTTCGGATCCTATATAGGGATGGCCAGTGTGCTCACTGGCTGAGTGCGGTGCGGGCGACACCAAGCCAAGGGTTACGATCCCCTTACCGGTCACACACACACACACACAAAAAAAATCATCTTAACAGGAAAACAGACGATATTGTTCAGAATATGAAATTGGATTTTTTTTTTTAGAGTTTCAAGTGACCATCTTTATTTACTTATTTATTTGTTTGTTTGTTTGTTGGCGGCTGGCTGGTATAGGGATCTAAACCCTTGACCTTGGTGTTATAACAATGTGCTCTAACCAACCGAGCTAACCTGGCCAGGCTGAAAATGGATTTTAAGTGGCATTATTACACAAATGCTAAAAATATCTAATGTTTATAGTCAAAGCAGAAATGAAATGAGTCCTCTTCTAGAGAACACACACACAGGATCTATAATGTATATACGGATATACAAATGTATTAATGTAAAATTCCAGAAACTGCTAATATTGTTAATCCAGAAGTTGGGAACAAGGTCTGCATGGGAGAGAGTCAATCATTATTCATCGTGTGCCTGTTTATACTGTTATGGTGTTGAGTTATTTTTATAACTAAAAATTTTTTTTTTTTTTTTTGTCTTTTTGTCTCTTTTTCCGTGTCCGGCAACGGATCGCAACCCTCAGTGTTGCCCCCGCACCGGACCGGGGACCGGCAACGGGATCGCAACCCTCGGTGTCGCCCCCACGCCTCGCTCAGCCAGTGAGCGGGAACCGGTCTGTATGTGGGATCCGAACCCTCGGGTGGGAGCGCCGCTGCGCTTCCCAAGCGGCGCACTATCCAGTGCGCCACCGGGCCGGCCCCTAACTAAAAATTTTTAAAAGAAAAAAAATTGATAGACTTTGGAAGTAGTGAGTTTGATTTTAAAAAGCTCCTCCTGTAAAGGAGAAAACCCAAACATATGTTTCCCTGGGGACAAGGACAGAGCATGTGGGACCACAGACCGATGCTTTTTGAGCACTTAATCCAGAATCGAACACTTTGCTCTCCTTTCTTATCCTCTGCTTTTGTGAGAGTTGGGAATGTCTGCTGTTGCTAAGAAACATTGCTATTTAGGAACTCTTCTAGGGAAGAATAATTACATTTTCTCTCTATTACAAATATCTACATGGATGTCTGAAAAATATTTGACTAATTGAGTTTAGGAGCAAGAATCCAGCACATAAGTAAACAGCCACTTTCTTTTTTTTTTTTTTTTAAAGATGACCGGTAAGGGGATCTTAACCCTTAACTTGGTGTTGTCAGCACCACGCTCAGCCAGTGAGCGAACCGGCCATCCCTATATGGGATCCGAACCCGGGGCCTTGGTGTTATCAGCACCGCACTCTCCCGAGTGAGCCACGGGCCGGCCCCTGAGTTACATTTTTATAAATGTTTTCATAACAGCAGTAGATTTTACTACAGACAATTTCATGAGTTCTTATTATTATAACTAGAGCCTAGAGCCTAGCTTAAAAATCACAAAGTATTGTGAAAAATATGCATATTGTGTTTATCTCTAATTGTCAGGAAGTTAAGGGGTATTTTCTTCCAGGAGCAGAGTTGCAAATAGTTTCTTTTTCCACTGATATTGCCAGAGTTGCTATTTTAGGTTTCTATCCACCACTAATTTAAGATAACTATTCTAGATTAAGTTGTTTCATACTAGTTTATTTAGGGGTCCCATTTTCATTCTTCAATAGATTCTACTTAGTTCCTATCTGCTTCTTCACTCATTAGTTCATCTATTTCTGAAGGGTTACTCAGTGTTACCTTGATCAGCCAACTATCTTAATAACAAGATTTGTTGACAAGTCCTGGATTTTCTGCAAGAACTTCGTTAATTTTGGTTCCTTTTGATATAATGGAGAATAGAGTTCACTAGCAGCTTTTACACTTTCCAAAGCACTAAATTCATCTTCTCTGTTCCAATTTTGTTCCAGCTTCAGTAAACAGCATCTTTCATAGCTTTCTGTGCAAAATTGCTGATTCCTACTGATGAAATACCATTTTCTGTGGTTATCCATTCATGTTTGTAAATTTACTTTTTTTTTTTTTTTACTGACTGGTAACGGGATCGCAACCCTCGGTGTCACGCCCACACCACACTCAACCAGTGAGCGGACCGGTCTCTATATGGGATTCGAACCCTCAGCGGGAGCGCCGCCGCGCTCCCAAGCGCTGCACTCTACCGAGTGCGCCACCGGGCCGGCCCCAGAAAGATGCTTTTTGAAAAAAATTTTTTTGACAGCTGGCTGGTAACAGGGATCAAACCTGGACCTTGGTGTTACCAACACCACACTCTAACCAACTTACTAACCGGCCAGCCAAGAATGCTCCGTTTAAAGAGAAAGTGTAATCATGCTAACTCTCTGCTTAATTGTGTCAGTGAACCAAGTCTTAGAATCAAGTCCACAAATTGACTTGGCCTGCATCCTGGCTCCTTGCTCCCTAAGCTTCAGCCATGCTGATCTCATAGTTCTTTTTGGAGCATGCTCTTCTGTTGGTAATATTCTTTCCCTCATGAGTTAATTATAATTGGGCTAAATATCAGTTCCTTAGGGAAGCCTTATCCCTGAAATTGAGTAGGTCTGCTTGTTACATGGTTTCAAGCTCAGTATGCTTTTTCTTTAGAGCACTTATTATATCTATAAACAGTTATTTGTATTATTACTCATTAACTACCTGTTTTTCCTGATAAGGTTGTAATTTCAAGAGAGCTTTATCTGCCTTGATCACTATTATATCCATAGTGCCTGGCACATAGTAGATGCTCATTAAATATTTGTCAAATAAATGTAAGAGCATCTTCATATGACCTGTAGTCTTGCTAGAGGATGGCAATAGTTAATTGCAACACAATGTCTTATTAAGTGTGTGTGTGTGTGTGTGTGTGTGTGTGTGTGTGTGTGTGTGTGTGTGTGTGTGTGTATGTATGTAGAATCTCCCCATGCAAAAGAGGGAAATCAGTATTGGTCCTGATGTGGATAGCACCCAGGTCAGTAAGCCTGTTAGGGTCCAAGTGTAAATAGGGGATAAATAAGTGAAGGGTGATAAGTGATGGTAGAGTACACACTCAGTGCCACCAGCAGAGTGAGAAGGAGCACCCAAGCCAGTGGGAAATGGTGTTTTCTAAGGAGGTGACTACTGAGAGCAGAAGAAAGAATAGAAATTAGTTGGACTAACGTGGTGGCTGGGGGCAGGGGTGAGGTGACAGGGATAGAAGCAGAAGTACTCCAGTCTGAGGGAACAGCATGTACAAGGGCCAATAGTGAGAGATTATTCAGAAAACAGAGCCCAGGACCAAGGAGGAAGAGAAGTGGATGGGGGGAAGTGAGCCTGGGTCTAGTTAGCCAATTTATTTTTCAATTTTGTTAACTTTTTTTGTTTTGGTGGCTGGCTGGTACAAGGATCAAATCCTGGACCTTGTAGTCATCAGCACCATGCTCTAACCAACTGAGCTAACCAGCCAGCCCCTTGTTAGCCAATTTAAGTATTTGGGCTTTGTCCAGTGGCCAGTAAGGAGCCATTGAAAGTTTCAGTGAAGGTTTCAGAGAAGGCATGATGGTATCTACATTCTACAAAGATCTCTCTGATGACAGGGGCAAGAAGGAAAGCTAAGGAGGAGCTGTCATCTGGACAGCAGATTCTCAGAGTCCCCAGCAGGTGCTGAGGTTGGGTCTTCCCTGGGTGGGATTTTCTCAGGAAGGGAGGGAAGAAGAGACTGAGGAGGAATTACTCTGTTTGGGGAGGACAGAGTCCTGGGCGCTAACAGAGAAGGCTCAGGTGGTCCATGCAGGCGTCTAGCTCTTCCCTTTTCCATCGCTGTGGTCTGGACAGGTGGGGCATACCACAGTCTTCATGAGGTGAATTGTCATTGTTTTGTATTTAGTGCAAGAGACTGTGCAGGCCCAGAATGGCCTGGTGTTTGAGGCAGTGCAGGACAAACGCAACACGGAGCAGGCCATTCTTGAGATGCAGAAGAGATTTGAAGCTGTAAGTTTAAACTCTGACCTCTTTCCTTAGTATGTATTTGGCTTTGTCACTAAAACCCAGAGAGACACCTTTAAAGTTGTAAATTTTCAGCCAAGACCAGAGACCAACATAGACCCCTTAGTAATGGGCCAGAGTATAGGTGAGTTTCCTTCCCCAAGGTTCCCTGGCATGATGTGGACCCCGGGGGCCCTGTCCAGAGTGTAGCTGTGCTTACCCTGTGAGGTGCCTTGCAAAGTGTTAGCCTTGGTTCTGCTGGCGCATCCATTGGTTTGTTCTCACTTTTTATTCTGCATTCTGACTTGCACTGTTCATCACTTTCCTCTTTTTCACTTCCTCTGCCCAGAGACAAGCAGAGTTTATAGAAATGAAGTCCAACATGAAGCATCTTGAAGTTTTAGTTGCCCAGCAGAGTAAGGATTTCCAGCAGCTGTGTGAGCAGCTGGGCCAGCTGAACTTGCCCAGTGTCCTAGCAGAGCTGAAGAGATTGATCTTGGTGCCTCGGGTACCTGGGCATGTCAAAGACAGCACTTCTCAAACCTCACCACCCCTGGCCCAGAGCCTCAACTTCACCAGGCAGGAAAAATGCGCCTCTGAGGAACCAGTTATATGGCAGACCCAGGCCCTTGCTGATGCATGGAATCCCAGTACAGGCTCTCTGCAGCCTGGAGAGTTTGACATCTGGGGTGAGGGAGCAAAGAGTGATGCTCTCCAAGAAGAGGCTGCCCTGTCGGCGGTCAGGTCCCATAAAGGAAGTGGGTGTGTAAAGGACAAGGCAGTGCAGGCTAACTGCAAGAATTTGGCTGTTACTAAAACAGGTCCCAAGAACCATGGCTCCAACATCCCATACCACAAAGTTCCTGGTGACAGGGACCTGGTTTCCCAGGGAACCCCACAGCTCATATGCCTGGACTTAAACAACTTTGCAACCAGCACTAAGAATGCCTGCCAAAAATATCAAGCCAAAAGCATGTATTCACACGACCCATGTGAACAGTTGGTAACTGAACAGAAAGGCAGGACTATAGAAAGAGGAGGGACAGGCAAAAAGCAGCAGCTGCCCAGGAAAGCCCACAGAGGGAGGCACCTAGCCAGGAAGCGAGAACAAACCCCAAGTAAGACATGTGCTTTCAAGTCTAAATACCAGAGTCCTCAGCACCCCCTGGGGCAGCAGGAACCACTTGCTCAGCCCCTACATGTGCAGGGCTCTAGAAGTCCCAAAAAGTTAGTCTGCCCAGTTCTGGGAGGAACAGTCACAAACAGTAAGACAGCAAAGGTGATGCAAGGGAGCCTCTTGCAGCTCAGCGGATGCTCTTCTCAAGACAACAGGCTGCTTTCCAGCAGTTCCCAAGGGGACTACCGGATGAGCTGGTTCAGTGACCTCAACCTTGGAAGTTCAGAGCCCCCCCCCTGCAAGGAGCCAGGGAAGAATTTGCTCTATGACCTGGGTTTTGATAGCAGCGATGATGGCCTCTGACAGGCCCACAGTGACTTAAACTTATGATTTATTGGTCTCAGCTAGAAAGACAACCTGCAGAACACTTGGGTTGGCCAACAGCAGAAAGACCCTAATACCTGCTCGGGACCCTCAGGATCAGAGGCTCTGGGGGGGTGTGCTCAGTAGGGGGCAGTGCCAGGTTCAGTGCTCAAGGTACCAGGTGCTGCCCATGACAAGGGCATAAGGGATAAGTGCATCCTTATTTATTGTAATGAAATGTGTGAAGACAGCAGTGATGAAAGCTGGGGCAGAATCTTGGTTGTGGGGCACCAGGAGGACGGTGGCTGTACTTGGTAAAAGGGAGGCTAGCTTCTTTATGAAATATTGTATAGCAGAAAGGCTGTCACAGAACTGTTGCTGTGGCAGCATGACTTCCAAACATTTTTGGTCTTCAGAATATTCCCTACACATGACCAATACTTTCTGGGCCTCAGGATTTTTTTTTTTTTTTTTTTTTTTTCCCCTCTTATTTTTATCCAGTTATGCTGCCACAACATTTGCTCTTTTTTTTTTTTTTTTTTTTTTTTTTCCCCTCTTATTTTTATCCAGTTATGCTGCCACAACATTTGCTCTTTTTTTTTTTTTTTTTTTTTTTTTTCCCCTCTTATTTTTATCCAGTTATGCTGCCACAACATTTGCTCTTTTTTTTTTTTTTTTTTTTTTTTTTCCCCTCTTATTTTTATCCAGTTATGCTGCCACAACATTTGCTCTTTTTTTTTTTTTTTTTTTTTTTTTTCCCCTCTTATTTTTATCCAGTTATGCTGCCACAACATTTGCTCTTTTTTTTTTTTCATGGCTGGCTGGTTTGGGGATCTGAACCCTTGAGCTAACTGGCCAGCCCTCATTTGCATTTTTTGATCAGTGGACATATTACAGGACACACTAAGTCTTGTGAACAGAGAAAGAATGTTAAAACTGCCAATGAAAGAGAGGTGACATGCCCCAAACAAATGCCCAGAGCACCACTGTTCACAAACCACGAATACGTTTTTCTTCTTGGCTGTTTTTTCCCGTCCTCTTTTTTAGCTAATGATAGCGTCTGTAGGCCCTGTATTATTTCTGGAGAGCAGTGGGCTTTATATGAGATGTTGGCTTTCCATTTATATCTGAAGTTTTTGAATGTTTGCAATACAAGTATTTATTTTGTAATCAAAAATAAAGATAAAACACTTAAAAGCATACATTTTGTTCTTTCAAGTTTATTGAACTGCCAGTTCAATTTCATAAGTTTACTTAAGAAATCAAATAGATAAGATACATACCATCTTTTTATTCCTTAAGGCTCTCATGATTTTAATAAACACCCCATTCAAATTGGTTTCCCTTTTCCAGTGTTATATGAAAGTGAAAATCTTCATGGGATGGACAGTTTCTAGAATTTGCTAATTTCCAAGCCAGTACAATCAGTGACACTGGGGCCACTGAGTGGACCTTTGTAGAAAGCAATGGTTATTTATTATTTTTTTACATTCTTTGTTTTCAGGGTTGTGTGTCCCATAAAAGTCTGGAGGAGTTGAATTTGCCTGCAACCTCTTTGGCAGGGATGTCAGACACCATCCTAAGCTGCTTTTCACTCATTTCCAGACCAAGGCCTCCTATGGCATGTAGCTGGGAGCCATGGGCTATCACAGCAACCCGCTCTGAGACCAGGGAAGTTCAGATATGGGCTGTGCCTCAGGCTGCCCTGGCCTCTCCTTTCCCTGTGGGTCTCACTGGATGTCTGCTTACCCTGCCCTCTGCCAGTCTGCTCCCTTCCCTGCTGGTTTTTATTGCTTATGCAAGGAAGCCCAGCCACACAAAGGGTTCCTTCCAGCCTTTGCCAGACTAACTACAGGTACCTGTTGAGCTGTTAGCATGAGTCTTATAGACTAGAGAGGTTTGTATCTAGAAACTTTTATTACTCTAAGATGAACAGTTTAATAATCATTTTAATTCAAAATTGAGACCCTGTTTAGAGAACTGTATTTATAACTGTGCTCTTATTGATGATTCTGTCCAATTTTGAAATGTCAAAGCAGGATCCTTTGTTCTTTCATTCTGCTGTGAGTTATTAAATCCTGTATTTCTTCAGAAATATTTCATTTTATGTAATAAAGCCAAAGGTCAGAGTGACTTGGTGTTCCATGAGTTGGGTGTCTTTGTAGAATGAGCAATAAACTTACCTCCTAACAAGGCTGGGTTAATTAAAATTACGCTGCCTGTCTCTGGTGGTCATCAGGAAAGGATATTGTTTCTTATCTTATACCTAAGGCTTTTTTTTTTTTTTTAAACTACTGTGTTCCTGCCAATTTTGGTGAGCATGACACAGCCCAGGCATGGCCCTGGAGCGCACAAAGTTTTGGGCTCTTCAGATGCTCCTGGAGCTGTATGTGGCTACACAGGTGTGATGTGATAGAAGGTCTATAGGCCTGAGGCCCAGAAAGCCACCCAGGTGCTCCTCCCTTTACTACAACTCCAGCTACAGCCTGAGGATGGAAATAAAGCTGACTGCAGTGCCTAATTGTCTTGACATTCGAGTATCAATCCCTACAGAGAGGCCTTTCCTGACCTCCTTCCTCACCCCACTCATCACCCACTCTCTCGCCCAGTTTTTTTTTTCCTTTTTGTCTTTTTTACTGACCAGCCTTCCCCTCGTCCTGCAGATGCTCCTTAGAGCTTCTACAGACCAGCTCCTGCCTTAAGTATTGTTACAAAATCTAGTAGTCTGTTTACAAATCTGGTTTCTGGTGACTTTGGCCTGAACACTGGTGAGATGCAGCCATGGGAACTTGGAAATCTCTTCTCATAGGATTGAATGGGCCCAGCTTTTCATATGCCTTGAGCTGTGGCTTGAATTTGCAGTCTGCAACTAGCAGGTTCCAAAGCTCCTGTTTATTCTTGAATCTGCCTTGTTTCTATTTTGATTCTGGTTACCAAATTGCAGTTTGGCGTTTCCACGGAAACAACTGACTATTAGGTTTGGCTTGCCAAGACGAGCTGTGGGGAGAGAACTGAATGACGTAAAACATTTATAAATTTTCTCAGACATGACCAAGGTCAACTATCAAGTCTCCCTGAGAAGGCTTTGTTCCCAGATCCCTGCAAACCTGAGGAATTTTTATTAAAATATATGTTCTAGGCTCTATTCTCCTCCCCTCCACCCCCTGGCCACAGCTAAATTCCTGGAGAGCAATTTTCCAAACCCTGTTCTGTGCAGATGAGCACACATCTGCCCACTGCATTGGTGCAGATGACAAAGGCAGGAAAGTCTCCTTGGATCACTTCAGGGAGCCAGGGATACAGAGACAGGAGTAGATGTCACCAGGAAAATAAGGGGACCTATGTGCCCACCCCCTGCTAATCTGGGACTGGCATGCCAGAGGCTCAGGGCTCCCTTGCTTTATTGAACAGCTTTTTCTACAGTGAGGAAAAGTTCCTCATTCAAAGATTCCAGGATGAACTACCTTTTGGTGAATCTGACTTTCACATAAAGGCTTTGCTAAGACAGAGACATACCTGTCTTTCTAGCCAGGCAGAGCCTGAACTCTCTTTCTAACCCCACCCCTACCCTGTGCTGGCACTTCATTTCCAAGGGCTATAGTCTCCCCTTTTTTTTTTTTTTTCCTTTTTGTCTTTTTTTGTGACCGGTAACGGGATCGCAACCCTAGGTGTCGCGCCCGTACCGCGACCAGCAACGGGATCGCAACCCTCGGTGTCATGCCCGCACCGTGCTCAACCAGTGAGAGGACCGGTCTCTATATGGGATCCGAACCCTTGGCGGGAGCGCCGCCACACTCCCAAGCGCCGCACTCTACCAAGTGCGCCACTGGGCCGGCCCATCCACTTTGGAATTTAAAAAAAAAAAATTCTAATTTCAAAGCCTTCTAGAGTTAGGGCCAGATACTATTCACAACAGCCACTTCCTCTTCAAAGCCCCACCTGGGGAGGGACTAAACCCTGACCAGTGAACTGAGCTCCTGAGAAACAGCTTGGTGAGACCTACAGTATCTGGCCCCTGAAGACAGCACCCTCAGTGAAGGACTGCTTGATTGCCAAGCCCTTCTGTTGCAGTCCCTGGACCCCACCAAGCTCCCCGCAAACTGTGATGGTTGGGTTTGGGCAGGTACCTGGTGGGGGATGCCCATGGCTAGTTGACAGAGAAAAGAGTTAAAAAACAAAACAAAACAAAAAAAACTCTTTCTTTTTTCCCTCCAGAAAGGATATATGTCCACTGCAGATAAATTAGGACAAAAAAGACTATAATCCTCCTTATTCCCACCCCCCATAAGTTCTTTGCACGTGTGCTCATATGCACATACTTTCACAAACTTGGGATCAATTGCACTTTATTAAATGCATTTTAAATTTTGGAATAACTTTAGATTTATGGAAAAGTTGCAAAGATGGTGATATACCCTTTAATCAGCTTCCTCAATGTTAACATTTTACATAACTGTGGTACATTTGTCAAAACTAAGAAACTGACATCAATACATTAACTCCAGCCTTTATATGGATCTCACCAATTTTTCCATTTATGTCCTCTTTCTGTTCCAGGATGCAATTCAGGATTCCAATGTGCATTTAGTCATCATGTCTCCTTATTCTCTATTGGTCTGTGACAGTTTTTGAGTCTTTCCTGACCTTGACAGTCTTGAATTCTGGTCAGGTATCCTGTAGAATATCCCCCAATCTGGGTTTTTGTCTGATATTTGTCAGACAAACCCATGAGGACAGGGGTTTTTGGTAAGAATACCATGGAGGTGAAGCACCCTTCTTGTCACATCCTATCAAGGTGTGTGTGACATCCACATTACATCACTGGTGATGTTAACTTTAATCACTTGGTTAATGTTTGCCAGGTATCTCCACTGTAAGTTTATTTTTCTCTTTCCTTACTTGACTCTTCAAAAAAGAGTCTCTAATCTGGCTCACCATCAAGGGGTGGTGATAATGTAGAGTGGAATGGGAAGAGACAGGAATTAAGCTCCACCTCCTCG